GGGGGGTGCCTAGGGGCTGGTGGTAGAGGACAAGAGGAGGATGGGGCCGTGACCCCCGTGTGCTTGGCAGAAGCACCTGCAGAAAGAAGGTGGCCAGCTGCCCATGGGAACGGCAGTCTCTAAAAGATCTTCAGGACTGAGAGTTCCTGTTTAGGGGAATTAACCTTAGGCAAGTAAGTTAGGTTGCTCAAGGGCACATAGAGTCAGCTTTGCCTAGCCCTGAAGCCCAAGCTTTTCCTTCTATAAACTGAACTAGCTGCCTCTTTAGATGGGGTAAATGGGCAAGTTAGGGCTTCAAAGTAGAGTGTGATTTACAATTGTTGTTCAAGGCATCTCAAGAAAATAAATTAGTATAAAAAAGGTAGTGAGGATAAAGGTGGGTGACCTTAGCTTTTCTTGCAAATACCTAAGAAATGGAGATATTTAAAAAATTCATTAACCTTTACAACTTCTGAGGGGCATGCAAATTGTGATTACAGATTTAAATTCAAGGAGATAGTCTAACTTGATTGGAATAGTTACCTTCAGTCACAAAACTTTATTGTAATAGTAACTATTACTGGAATTGCAGTTCAGAGTTTGTATTCTATTACTTAGTCATACAAACTCAGTTTCTGTACATAAGCCCCAGAAGGTGAGGAGTCTAAGGAGCAAGGTGGGCTTTTTATTAGACTTTTTTTGCTATATATATATATATGAAGGTTGCCTATGTTGTTTATTTGTTTTCAAAGAAATATTGGAAGTATGAGGGCTACAATCCTAACTAATTGTTCTTTCGCAACCCTTTTCTCCCTCTGGCTCCTCGCAGATACTTCTTGTGCCTTCAGCTCCGGCAGGACATTGCCTCTGGCCGCCTGCCCTGCTCTTTTGTGACTCATGTCCTGCTTGGATCTTACACACTGCAGGCTGAACTTGGGGACTATGATCCGGAAGAGCATGACAGTAACGACCTCAGTGACTTCCAGTTTGCCCCCGCTCAGACGAAGGAGCTGGAAGAGAAGGTGGCAGAGCTGCATAAAACCCACAGGTCTGTTGACTTGCTTAATGGAGAGAGAATGGCCATGGCAGATTGAAATAGCTTCTCTTGCTGGACATTTGAGCATAGTTTATGGAATGATTCAGTTTTTCCTTTTGGAACTTCATCTAGTCAGGACAACCTATAAGCTCTGAGATAGCCTTTCTTGGTCTTTATGACTGTAACAGCTATGCTCACGATGCTAAATGCTTTCACTTAGTGAAAAAGTTCACTTTTCCCTATGACTTCTTCCTACCCCCAGTCCTATCCCTTAACACACACACTCTTGAAACAAATAAACCCACACACTTGTTTGGCATTTACTGTATATTTCTTTTGCCTTTTAATTGTTTTCACTATCATATTTGATAAGAAAGCCAGGGAGATAGCAAGACTTCAGGGTTTCAATCAGAAATGTGGATGGTGATGGACATAGGAGTAGTAATTAAATAGTGCAGGTGGCTTCTCTATCCTCAGAAGGTTAGAAGTTTATAAACAGACCACATTCTTTGACTTCTCTTTAAAAAAAAATACAGTATTTCACCCTAAATATTTCCTATTAATTGTATTCTACTCACCAGACAATTTGTATAATTTGAACTTGAAATATCAGGTGCTGAAAATGCCATGGGGAATATAAAGATGAATGGGACATGGTATTGTGCTCTGGAAGCTTAAACTTTGTTGGTTGGGAATATAAATAGGAATGGAAATAATGTTAGTATGGAGAGAATATATGTGTGTTACCAGCCATAGGTGTAAAATCAGACACAGATACTCCTGATCTTCCTTATGGTCATTCCTAGTGAAATAAAATTAAGGAGTAAGAATTTGTCTATTTCAGGAAGATGAAACCACTTTTTAATTTTCTGTTAATTCATGTTATACCCATTATTGTTGTCTGGGGCTTTTTTCTCCAGTGGAAAAACATTGGAAGCAACTTTCTAAGATAAAAAGGGTAGGAGTAGAGGTGTACCCCCTTGTAATGAGTAGGTTTAGATTAGAGGATCTTAAGAGGAAAATGCTAGAGGAAAATTGAGAGTTGAGCCTTCTTACCTATTTCCTACTTGTCCGCAAATTTAGCTGGGTTATTCTCTCTACCCCAAACTCTTCAAGCTCATATACCCCTTTCCCCATTTTGACCGCATTTGCTGGGTATCCACCAATAAGATAATATTGTTTCCTTTGATTCTTAGGGGCTTGTCTCCAGCACAAGCTGATTCTCAGTTCTTAGAAAATGCAAAGAGGCTTTCCATGTATGGTGTCGACCTGCATCATGCCAAGGTACTGTAAACATAATGGGGAAGTGGCATCTTTCCAGTGTGTTGATTCCAGTTTTGAAAAGACTCCAATTTCAGAATAGCCCAGAACCCTCTTAAGAAAAGGCTACCCTCCCTCATCTGAGAGTCTTTATAACATTTCTGTGGTGACTGATTGTGAGGTGTATGATAGGGGAGGGACCACATATTCTCCCCCTCTTTCTTCTGTTTCTTGTCGTTTAAATTAATATACTTTCATACGTATATGACAGAAGACTCACCTTGTCAGCCTTCTTGACTCCTCACCTGGTTTATCCTGTGTCCCTGCTTTCATTATGCCAGGTATGCCTCTCTCCTGCCTCTGTCTTGGGAGAGGAGTGCAGATCTTAGCATCACTCAAGGGCAAAGGCAGCTGGATGTGACCACCTTTGAAAAAACTTCTGGGTTGTGAAGGAGCCCATGAGTTGGGCTTTTCCCTGTAGTTCTGTTTTGTTGTTCTTAGCAAGTAGACTGGCCTCGGCTCGTGATGCTGCACCTCCAGTCTCATTTGAGAGGTGGGAAATAGGAGGGGGATGCTGGGTGGGGTGGATGCCAGTAACAGACATCACCTGCTTCCTGCTCATAGTTTAGATGGTCACATAGTAGGGGGAGTCAAGGTAGTAGGATAAGGTGAAGGTTGGATATGGTTTCAAAAAACATGTTCAGAACCAACATCCTGAAGAAATGTATGGTTGCCTGTTGTTAAAAGACCCTGCCAATCCCTAGACCTAGCATAGGAAGATGAGATGACATGGTTTGAGAAATCTTTTGGAAAGCTTCCTACCCAAAGATATCTTCCCTCTCTAGGCCTCAGATGATTAATTCTTGCTTTTGTGTAATAGTAGTACATTTTACAGAGTACTCTTCTTTCCTTGGTGCCTTCCTTTATTCTAAAATGTTTTTAATATTTTTCCTTATTACAAAAATAATACATGTATATCCTAGAAAATAGAAGCAAACAGAAGAAAATAAAAATTACTGAAATCTCTTTATGCAAAAATAAGCACTGTTAATATTTTTATACATTTTCTTCTAAGAAAATCTCTGAGCAGTTGCACTCATGCATTTTGAATTGGGATCATACTACAAATGTCACTTCATGAGTGTGGGGGATTTTTGTTGTTTGATTTTGCTTGCTGTTATAAACATTTTCCCAGGTCAGTAAATAGTCTCTGGCAGCATTATTTCGTTTTTAACTGCTAGGTGCTGTATGCCTTTAAATATTAAAAGTGTTTTCACGTACACCATCTCATTTAAAATTTGAATGTTATATTTTACAACTACATAAAACAGAGTGTAAAGCATGACTTGCCTGAAGCCAAATATTGTTAAGCATTCCCATCTGCCTATCTCCTGATAAACTCTACTAGGAGGGGAAACAAATTTCCCAAACATTTGAGTGTTTTTCAGCTCCTTTCTTTGTGTGTTGGAAATAGGCTGGGTCAGCTAAGAGACAGAAGTAAGGGAGGGAGGAGAGAAAAGGTTTGGGACCAAAAAGACCTTCAGTCTGTCCACCTCTAAACCCTGTTACTCTTTCACATGTAAATTTTCCATCTACTACTTTATTGGTCATTGGTCATAAACCAGTCTTAGATAGCAGGACTGCAGAGTTTTCGAATTCTGTTTTTAAAGCTGTATCTTAGAAAAGTAAAAAAGTTGTGGGTTCTCTTAGGCGTAGGATTTCAGTTCTTGCTGTATAGTTAGGAGTAGATTGCTTACAACATTTTGAAGTAGAATTCCTTTGTTCATTCTGTTTATCATCTGATAGATAAGCAAGATACAGCCTATTGAAAAGAATTTCTTTAGCAGTTTGAAAGAACTTCCCATGTAGTTTAAAGTTTGTGCCCTTATGCATTTCTCATTGTCTTGAGATCATATTAAAAATTTTTTTAGATTTATTTTTTATTATTGAAAGAATTCTTAATGGCACGCTCGTGTTAGGACAAGTTTTAGAGTGTTGAGGGAAAGGACTCTTGACAAAGGTACAGGGAAGCCACAAGAGTAGTATGATACCTGAGCCTCTTGCAGCAGCCCTCTCCAGCCGCTGTAGGTCTGAAGAGGTGAGGACAGAGTGGTTGCCAAACCGAACTGGGAAGGAGGTCCAGTGGAGAGGGCTGCCCTGAGGGGAGCCTCACTTGTCAGAGGGACACAATGCCGACCTGTCTTGCGCCTTCCCTACCTCCTCTCTCCGATCTTCAGCAAGAACTTCCCATGGGCTGAACCCATTCGGAAGTCTGTGGACGTGGGATCCTGTCGATGCTATATGAGGCAGTGAGCAAGGCATAGAAGGGGCTCCTTTTTATTAGCCTGTTTTTCTAACTTTGTTGCTGAATGGCAGATGTCAAATAAGGATGACTAAGGCATGCTTTCTTCCCCTTTTGCTCGTTACCCTTTATTTGTAATTTCTATTCACACAAATACTGATACTTCTAAAGCAGTATGTGGAACACCCGAAAATCAGCCTAGTTACTTGAAACTAGTATTGAAACAGATATTGTTTGTCTGATAAAATAGCTTCAGTGTCTCGTCTAAAGATTGCTTCAGACTAGAGAGATGGCTTTGTTCAGTGTTTCAAACAAGGGTTGCCTCCTTACTTACGGTGAGAACATGCTGTCTGGGGCAGTCTTCGGGCCTGCTTTCTCTGGCCATGGCCAGTGATGTTTTTGACAAATGCCGTTTGTATCTGGTGCCAAGTTGCTTCAGCACCTGTGCCTGATTCATCTCTCTGTTCCTAGAGAGAATTGTGGCTGCCGTGATATGATGAATAAAATACCCTTAAAAATCTTAAAGATAAGATTTTTAACCTGCTAAAATGGTCTAATTTTATTTGTATGTATGAATTATTCAAATATCACAGCAGAGAAAGCAGTGGCCTTCAGTTACCTTGTACTGTGCTTCTGTTTTGAAAAAAACTAATGTGAATTGTGTTAGATTGTTTTCAGTAGCAAGACAGTTGAAATGTTACATTTTTATTGAATTGAGACCAGACTAAATATGGTATTTGTTTCAGCATGTTTTGTGAGAATTTGTTCCATGTTGCTAATGATTTCTGAAGATAATATCTCTGAATAATATTTTTTCAATTTTGCATATCTTGAATGAAATCCTGTTCCTCCCTTAAAGATAAGCAGTGATTTGTAATTTTTGAGTATTTATACATATTGCATCCTCAATATTACTTGAAATGTGGAGACACAATTTTTCACTTTCATCTATAAATTTATTTGATTTTTTAGAAGTCTTTTAGGCGTATGGTTACTCTAGATTGTCATCTATTTCAAATTAAAATGCTGGAGAAAGAAAACGATATTAATAAGCTCAAGAATAGTCTGCAGTCTTGAAATATGCTCTTCAAAGGAAGGCTGTCATGAGAACTAGATGTCAACACTCTGAATTATTGAAAAACTGCTTGAAAGAATTTCAAAGTTCAGCACTGTCAGCCTAGAAGAGAAATTTTCTGTGACAGTTTGGCGTTTTGCACAATGTAGGCATAATTTTAACAGCTATCTGCCAGCATGATCCATCGGGGATAAATTTGCCTAAAGTGCATTGGCTGCATGCACCTTGGCATAGACCAACACACTGTCCCCTAGGGTGGGTCACCTCTAGGAAAATGTGTTTTCTCTCTTATATCTTCAGAATATCCAAATTGAGTCCTGTTTCCTTTCTTCCCCATTACCCCTTGCCACTGAGCTCGAGAATTCATAAGAATTACGCCTTTTAAAGTATATCACGTCCTGCAGTAATGTTACCATACCTCTTTGGCAAATCGAATTTGATTCCTGAAGATGAATAGATTTAAGATGTGTCATGCATCCTACTGTTTCTATTAACTTGAGTACTGTCACTGAAATTTAAATACGAACCCTCTAAATTAGCATTACTAGTCCTGGTGTTAAAGGTGCTGTTAGCATCCTGATCCGTGTAACTTTCACAGCTCTAACCATGGTCCAATGGCTTATGCTTGGCAGGACTCAGAAGGCGTGGACATCAAGCTGGGCGTGTGTGCTAACGGTCTCCTTATTTACAAAGACAGACTGAGAATCAATCGTTTTGCTTGGCCAAAAATCTTGAAAATTTCCTATAAGCGCAGTAACTTCTACATTAAAGTCAGGCCAGCAGAGGTAAGCCGTGTCACATAGCCCTGGGCCTCTCTGCTCAGCTTTTGTTGGTGTACCCCTTCATTGCCACAAGCTTGCTGAATTTTAGGAAAAATGAACCATTATTTATTCTTCTGAGGTAGAAAAGGTCAAAGTTCCTTGTGATAAACCTGCATATATGTTCTGTTGTTAAAAAACAAGCAAGAGCCACACCTTTTACAGAAAAGAGAATGAGTAGTATGTGCTGCATAGTGGGGCTCATGAATTGATATTGGATCGACTAAGCGCTAGAGGTTGATAGAAAGGTAGAGAAATGAGTGTTAGTGGACACTGAATGATAGATGATTATGTCAAGTAGATACTTTTCACAGAAAGTGGTATTGCAGCCAATGAAAAATTAATTTTGTAAAATTATATTAGATACACTAATATTTACCTTTTTGAAGAACAACAGCCACCTCTTACAGAAATATCTGAGTCTGTATTTTTCAGTAGCTTCTAATCAACTCTTAAGGAAATACGCTGTTTTTTGGATTTATTCTAGCTGGAACAGTTCGAGAGCACCATTGGATTCAAACTGCCAAACCATCGGGCAGCCAAACGGCTCTGGAAGGTGTGTGTGGAACATCATACTTTCTACAGGTAATTTTAAGAAAGCAGCTTACAATTAATCGAACTGTTCTGGGTTCCGTCTGCCTAGTTAGAGGTGTAAAGGTGGTGTGAGGGATGTGGTGACAGCCTCTTCTCTGGTCCTTTGCTCTCCCTCCCCTGTCTTCAGTCCACTCCCACATCCTTCTGTTGCTCTGGCCTTGTCTTTCATCACTCATTGGTTTGGCCTCTGCATGGTCCAAAAGCCCAGTTTCTGGCCAAAGCGCCTTTTCTTCCACCGCCCCCACCCACATCCCAGCTTTGCTTCCGTTCTTCCCACTGTCACTCATCTTAGGTTTCATTTAGTTGAACTTCTCAGCTCCATCTGCTTAACTTCTTTCCCAAACCAGCCTGAACCCTGTGATCTGTTCCTTTGCTGCTATGTCAGGCGTGTTCTGACCCCCTCAAGCCCTGGGCTTTTTGCACATCAGCCTGCTAGTTGGTCCTGCATCAGTCCTGTGTCCCTGCCTCACCACTCCTGTACCCATGCTGTCAAGTGCTATCTGACGTAGCACAGCTGTCCTGACACATGTGCTCATTCCTTATGCCTCCACGGGTGCATGCTATTACACGTAGCTCTTCCACAGCAGCTGGATCCTCAGTGCTACCAGGCAATCTACCTTTTTACTGTCTTTTCCATTACAAATGTCATGGTCTTCTTGAGCCTCTAGGCAGCGCTGCTCTGCTCAGATGCCCTGTGCTGTGAGGTACACTGATGGTAAAGGTTGTAATCATGAGCAGGTTTGGTTTCCTGCACCTTCTCATTTTCTCCCTTTGCCTATAATTAAGTGGCACTGCCTGCTCTTTCCATCTTTTCCTCCTCTCCTATCTCAGGGGAAAAATAGTTGTTCCTCTGCCTTGATCTCTCATTTCATACCTCACACAGGATCAAGCCTTGTAAGTTGTGTACTCTGCAGTGGGTCCCTTGGCTTCTTGGGCCAGTTAACATTTTCATCTTGCTCCCTTAAAAACCAAAAAACCGAAACCCCAGCAAAACATACAGAAGATTCTTAGACCTTCTAGCTGTCTTGTCTCCTTTCATACTTTTCTTCAGGGGCATATTTCCCAGGTTACTCTAGTTAGCCGAGTGCTTGCTGATGATTTCTGCATTTCCTCAGTTCTGTATTACAGCAGGACGTTTGGCTGTGTATTCAGGTCCTTGTCTTTAAGGCTTTTGCTCTGGGCTCCTGTTCCACCACATACTGGGTTTGTGACTGTGGTCAAGTTACTCAGTCTTCCAGAGTTTCACTTTCGCTATCCATGTGGTGGTAACAATAATAGTATCTACCTTATAAGGTTGCTTTGAAGAGTAAATGAAGCAACACACGTGAAACAAATTTAGACCCGTTTCTGGTATATAATACTGTTTATCATCACCATCACAGTTATCATCATTATTCTTAGTTTGGTACCACGGTGTGCTATTTTTAAGGTGAATTGTTAGCTGGTACAAGTGAGTCCTTCGAGTTAAATTAACAAATACCTATTTTAAGGACTGCTCTAATATACTTATTTTAGAGAAGAAGGTGACTCATATACTTGAATCCATCAGACATAGTTACACTGACACATAAATCTTAGAAAAGTTTATCATTTTTCTTGGTAATGAGAAATTTCTCCTCAAGAAAACATGAGGCTGCCTCAAATAAAGCTTGTAGATAACATTTATGAGTTAAGTAACATAGGTCCAGGCAGGCAGACAGTAGACTTCTCTGTCAAATAATGATAAAGCAGTAATTATTTTAGAAATGACAAGTGCTCACATTCATTGGGCATATATTGTTGTTAGACAGAACCAGTTGCTTTACATCACACCATCTCTTTCATTCCTTCCCCCTGCCGAGGCAGCTGTAGCTCAGAGCTGGTTGCCCACGGAGGCGCACAATGGTCAGGCCCCTGAGCAGAGGTGGGGCCCCAGCTGCCTGATTCCAAAGCCCACACTCTCCACCTCTGCCTTAACCTCCCTCTGGTGTTTTTCTAGTAGGCATCTCTGAGATGTTAGCCCTGCAAAGTCACAGATCCCCCCATTATTTTTTCTGACATATCACAGACTCCATTTTAAAAGTAGACCAATTTGCTCCATAAGCTTTTGAGTTAATGGTTAACAAAAGCGTTTTTGTATCTTTAAGCTTTGTGTAACTTTTCTTATAAGTGTTAAAACAATATATGTAACAGGGCAAATCGTAATTTGTCTTCAGAGTGCTTTGAATCAAATCTGGATTTTGTTCTGTTTTAGTTTAAAAAATTCAAATGATTTCTTTAGAAAGTCAAAATGGTTTTGAGATTGAAGCTGCTAAAAAAGCTCCTAGATCTTTCTATTGAAAGCCACTCAGCTAGACCAACATTTAACAAGAACATCATAACAAAGCTGCTATCCTTTTGAATGTTTAATAGAGCCTATCATCATTCTAAGTGCTGTACATGGATTAATGCTTTTAATCTTAACAGCATCTTCCCCACAAGATTTATTGTAATCCTTCACTTCTGAGGGACAGAGAAGGTAATAAACATGCTCATGGTCCTACAGACAGTAATGGGTGGAGGTGGAATTCAAGGCCAGGCAGTGAAGCTCATTGGGCTCTACTTCTCAATTGTATTTGCAGCGAATGTGCTTCCTCGCATTTTCTGAATGCTTTTTTTGTTGGTGGTGGTGTGTAAATTAAGATTAGCATGAGGTTCTTTTAGCTTGACATTGAACTGCCACTTGAAACTTGGTGTCTTAGATCCACAGTGATCCCAAATGAATCAGTGTCATGAGCTGCCTCAGAGAATTTTATCCTCAAGTGTCTGACTGACCTTAGTGATTGATATGCAGGTTTTTCTTAGACCCATCTAAAACATACTTAATTTATAATGTTAGGATTTTTATAAAATTAAAATGTTAATATGCTTCTTAAGCAGTAAAATATATAAAAGCTGAATTCCTTTTTGACCTGTCATTAGGTCATCTTGCTCAGGACTGTTGAATTTAAAACTATTGATTAGTTCCGTACTGTGGCTTTTAAATTCCCAAAAAGTGAAGTGATATTTTATAGTGGTTTTAATGTTATTTTTATGAAGATAGGATCTGATGTAGGATCTGATGATTGTATACAATTTTTCTCGCCTAGACTTCGATACTTAACTGCTTACATATCCCTGCCTATATAAATGAGAGCCTGGTTTTATAATGAGAAAAAGTAAAACCAACAACTTCATGTTAAAATTAGGGCTATTTGTAGTGGTGTGATTGTTTTATGTTTTTGAAGACTGAAATATTCAGTAGTAGCTTTGTCAGAAGTTACAGAGCTTAGATCCCAGATTCCTCTCATCTAAAATATGGCACGAGAGAGCTCAAAAGCTATTCTTAAATGCTGTGACTGTATAATCCTAAGAAAGAGAGCTATGAAAAATAACTATGTAGATAATGTGTTTAGATTTTTCCAGCTACTTAAATTCAGGTGCCCTCTAGTAAAAGGTGAAATGGGATCCTTTCTAGTGATCCAGTCTGTATTTATTGAGTACCTCCTGTATATAGGCCCTAACACAGATCCATGTGAAGTTACAAAAGCACTAATGGAGGTTTTCTTAATTGTCTTTAAAATTGTTTTTCTGACGCATGAGGCGTTTCTTGATCATCTTACTTTATGAATTCAATTAATTTTGTCAAAGAGGAAAATTAATCTTTGAAAACATATCTGTTTAGATATCCTTTAAAATTTTTCATAATTTACAAAAGCAGGGATCCAGTTTCTAGTCTAAAATTTTAATCTGAGAAGGGTTTAAAAAACAGAATTTGATAGCATCCCTCGGCCCATAGGGGCATTAACACAGCCACAAGGAGGGAGAGGTTACTGGAACTGGCAATGTGAGATTCCAGTAAATCCTCCTATGGATCTGCTTTTTCCAGGAAGACATGGCCTTTGGTTGAGAGAGATAGTAAACTGAGGTGAGCCTATGGAAGTGTGCCAACTCCCCTAACCCCCAAATCTCAGTCTCTTCTTCACCTCCAGCCTTTTTTTAAAAAATAATTTTATTTTATTGTGGTAAGATCACTTAACCATGAGATCCATCCTCTTAAATCTTAAGTGTACTATGTATTATTATTGACAGTGGGTACAGTATTGTGCAGATCTCTATAGCTTATTCACCTGATTTAATGGAAACTTTTTTCTGGTGATTAATAACTGTCCATTTCCCCTTCCCTCTAGCCCAATCTTTGATTCTCTGAATTTGGCTGTTTCAGATACTTCATAGAAGAGTGGTTATGCAGTTCTTATCATTCTGTGTCTGGCTGGTTTCACTTAGTATAATGTCCTCAAGGCCCATCCATGTTGTTGCATATGGCAGGATTTCATTTCTGTTTTTTTAAAGGCTGAATAGTATTCCACTGTCTTTATCCATTTATCTGTCAGTGGATGTGTAGGTTTCCATAGCTCAGCTATTGTGTGCTGTAATGAACAATGGAGTGCTAATACGTCTTTGAGATACTGATTTCAATTCTTTCAGAAAAACACCTGAGAGTAAAATTGTTGGATCATGTAGTAGTTCTATTTTTAATTTTGTGAGGAACCTCCATACTGTTTTCCATAATTTCTGCACCATTTTGCATTCCCACCAACAGTGTGCAAAGGGTCCCATTTTCTCCATATCCTCACCAACATTTGTCTTTAAAAAAATTGGGGTTGTGGGGGTAGGTGTCTCCTTTTGGGTTATCAGTGCCTGTTTCTCCTTTGAGGTATTCTTTAGAGATGTCTTTTTTTCCCTCTGGTTGATTTCCCATGACCTAAAGAGCAAACTTCATGAATAAATGTGATATTTAACTAACATGTTGTTCTAGGAGAGCAAACATTTCTTAGCCAATTACTGCAGTGATGAACTTGCCTGTAACTCTTTTTATTCCTGTGGATTGTTGCTTTTTTACAGAGCCTTTTGAGATTTTTGTCATGTTCACCATAAGTGTAGTTACCATCTGTCACTATTCAAAGATGTTGCAATTTAATTGGCTGAACTCTTACTTAATAAAATCCACAAGTGCTCTGAGATTATCTTTTTGCTTAGATGTTTTGCCAGCTCCTGATCAGACAACGAAAGTGAGACAGTTTCAGTTGTATTCCAGACAAGATTGGTTCATTTACTAAAAACGTGCTTTTGCATAAGTCTGAAAGTGTTTGACTTCATTCATTATGAGCCCAGGGTTTAAGCAATAGAATTGTGCTGGCAAGAATGTTAGCCACCCATGCAGATCCACTGTGTGCTGTGTTGTGTTCCTCATGGGAAAGCATCACTTGGTGGAACAGATTCCCGAGTTAGATGTTCTTTCCTAGGAGAAATAGACATAAATATTAAGAATTACTAATGGTAATGGATTGCTACTTGGCACTTGTAGCCAGAAGCAAGAATTCAGACATACATGTTTATATAAATTATTTAAGTTAATAGAAATAAATAACCTTTGATACACATGGAGAACAGCTGCTTTTTTTTGCTCAAGTTGAGGGAAAACATACCATTCATGAATGCATGAATGTAGATTTTAGTCACCATGATCATAAAGTGATATGTAGAAGGGTTTATAAATAAGGTTCCTTTTTATTAGAGAGTTTAGGCATCTTTTTTTTTCAAATTGAATAATCATACTTAAAAAATGAGATTTTAAAAATATATAATTTTAAAGTTAAAAAGTCCATAAAGTCTAATTTTGTTTCCTTATTCCCCCACTATAGGCTTGTGTCTCCAGAGCAGCCACCAAAGGCCAAGTTCCTGACCTTGGGTTCCAAGTTCCGCTACAGTGGTCGCACCCAAGCCCAGACCCGCCAGGCAAGCAGCCTCATTGATAGGCCAGCACCACAGTTTGAGCGCACCTCCAGCAAACGGGTCTCCAGGAGCCTAGATGGAGGTAAACACATTGATGAAAGTTTTAAATTCTGTTAATCTTTCTCTAATCCAGTGGGATCAGAAAATGTTGATCTACCTCTGAAGCCTCCAGAAATACCCTACAGAGATAGTTATTTTTTCTGAGTAAATAAAAGGCTACTTGTTATACAAATGAGAAAATAATTTTGCATTGTTTTGAAGTTGTCAAAAAATTCTGAGTCTACACTTTGTACTGTCCATGCACACAAATATTAAGAATTCTCACTGATGAGAAACAAACACTTTTTTAGGTTTGACTTAATTGTGATTATTTTGTGTGGCTTAATTTTTTGAACTTGTTAATTAATGGCAGAAATATAATTCCGGGTTTTTTTTTGGTGTGGTAACATGAACCTAAAAAGGAACTTAAAATATTCAAATACTCACGAGTTTAAAAACTTCTTACTGAAGTGTACCAAACTTTCCAAAATGTAAGAAACCATTGACAGCGTCAAAGGATAAGTTTAAATACAGCATTCTAACAAAAAGAAAGGAAATACAATCATTTGTTCTTTCATCCAAGGGAAGATTTTTTTAATACTTTGTGTACTTTTTCTGTTGGAGTTCTAACTATTTACATATTTGTAGTTTTTATATAAATTACAAATAGAAATAAATTGATGTTGCTTCCCCTCATATATGTATCTTACTCCTCTAATTTTGAGTTAATAGCAGATTTTCTATAAAAGAGCTAAGGTTAATTTTATATTAGAATGCTTTATGAAGGACTTTACTTTTCTTTCTACTTAAATTGGTGTGGATGAAGTAGTTTTCCAACATTTTTTGGTTGAATAATCTCAAAACATTGCCAAATAGTAACATTAAATTCAAAAATTTCTGTTTTACTCCTGCTTATCAACCAAAACCTTTTTTGGTTGCTCACTTATTGCTGATATCTTTCTGAAATATGAAGTTGAGCAACTTAATTTTAAATAATTAGTTAATACAGATTGGATATGCTAAAAGATAAAAATGTCCTTTCATTAATGAAGGACTGACACTCCTTGGCCTCAATCTCTTTTTCCTGGAGTAAACTTGGAAAACAGATCTAGGCAGACACACAGAGATACTTGCTAGGATTTATTGGTGAACATTTTGGTGAATGTACTTATTAAATCTTGATTTTAGAGAATCGTCCATACAGTTTTATGAGACCACACAAAAGTATGTAAAGAGACCATAAACTAGTTCAAATAAATGTCCACATTCCCAAATAAAGTGATTTAAATTTAGAGATTTATTAATATGTGATAGCTGTCAGTGTGTCTTTCATCTCATCAACTGAATGTTTTTTTCAAGTAAATGGAAGAATGTACCACTCACGTAAATGTTCTGCAAGCCTTGAATCAGAAAATGTATACAAGTGCTGAATAAATGGAATCAGTATTGTTTAATGCCCTGAGAGAAATCATTTCTTTTTCTAGAGCACTGTTTCAACCTTTGTTTTAAACTATGAGATTTTGTAACTCTTACATTGTAATTGTAGAGATTAGAAAGAGCAGTGAGGCACAGTGTTTAGAGGTATATAAATTGTGCTCAAGGAAACCTACCATCTTGTATGCGCAGTCAGTACAGAGGGTTATAGTAGGTCTGTTATCTGAAAACAATGATTTTTACAAGTAAAAGCAACAAACATGGCACAGTAATCCATTATTTTTCCTTTTGTGTTTTGGACACTGTAATTCATCAGATGTGCAAGTCATCAAAAGGATTATTGTGTTTTTGTGAAAAATAGAATGCTTTTCATGCCAATAGATGACTAGACAGCCAGTGAACTATTTGGTTAGGGCTTGTATTCTCCTTTTTTTTCTCCCTAAAGCAAAGCTCGGCTGTAACTTTGTACTGAGCTTTATTTTCCCCACCAATCCCCATCAATACATCTTTTTTATTGTTGTTGACGTGTTGTATTTTTTTCCCCTTTAGTTTTTAAGTTATGCTAGAGTAGATATATATAAATATTCTTCACTTTAAAGTTTGATGAATGAAAATAAATCTTTTAGTGATTACATAGAATGTAAAAGCCAGTGTGATATCTAAGACCAGATATCAAAATAAAAATAAATCTAGAACAGCTGTTTTAGAACAGTGAGATTCCAATACTAGAAAATAAAAAAAGATGTACATCAATCATTTGGGAGAACTACCGACCAAGACGCACTAGAGATGTATTTGAGAGTGGGAGGAATAAACAGGGATGCTATTTAGATTGGGTCACAGGGAAGGAAGGCCTATCTGAAGAAGAGCCTGTGGTTGAGGCCTGGAGGAGGAGGAGGAGGAGGAGGCAGCCAGGTGTAGAGCAGGAGGTAAAGGCATTCCAGGTAGCAGGGGCAGCAGGTCCAGAGGCTGTAGGATTAGGAAGGTCTTGATACATTTCAGGAATAGACAGCAGGCAAGTATTGTCAGAGCTCAGTAGACTGGGGGCAGTTCACAGGGTCTTAGATGCCATGGTGAAGAATGTGGTTTTTATTCGAGGTGCTGTTAGAAACTGTTGAAGGGTGTGTGGTGTGTGTGTGTGTGTGTGTGTTTACACACTGTGCAAGCAAGTTATCTTTTTGTAAAAGTCCCTTGGTGCAGTGTTGACAATGATTAGAGGATGAGAGAGGAAGCAGGCAGACTAGTTAGGAGTAGTCGAGGTGGGCGTAATGGTGGTCTTCCCCTGGGTGATTGTGATCAGTTAGCCACTTGGCACCATAAGCTCAGAGCCTGGGGCCTATAAGTTCCTCAGGGTTCTAGTGTTTAAACCTGGAAAATATTACTTGCTTCAAAATGCAAAAAAAAAAAAAGCCCTAACACCTTCCCCTTACTTCCATATCCCGCAAACTGAAATTAGTGGTTGTTAAAAGAGTGTGCAAAATCAATATTTTGTCAACTTCATTATGTAATTCTAAATTTGATGTAATTAACATTTCAGTATCATCTAAAACCATTCCTAGACCATATTTTCCCATTTTACAGTGATTTCTGAGTATGTGTAATGGGTACTTAGAAATCAGTTATAAGTTAGAGTTACTCATAATCATATACTTTCCAAGGGAAAATTATTTAACTCTCAAAAGGGAAAAAAAGACCTGGAGAATAAATATAATTATTGTAAGATGTAAGTTCATTTTATGATTCGGTATGGGCTTTCAAAAGCATGAGTACTTAAGGGCTGCAAAAGTCCTAAGAGGGACCTGGTGGTAAAATAGAGATGGAAGATCTGACTACATGTAGAAATACTCCAAGGCCTCTATTGGACTGGCTTGGTGTTGAGTAGCTAAGGAAGAGACTTTCTACTTTCTGGCTTGAGTAACTGGGTGCAGGTGTGAGGGCGGTAAGACTAGGGAAGAAGGAAATTTTGGGCAGGCCATGTGAGAGGTATGAATCAAGAGTTTCTTATAATATCCCAAGATACAGATCTAGAGGTGCTTGATGCCTCCCAAGTTCAATACAGTGACTCACACACAGTCCCTGCCCTCCAGGAGCTTCGTGCCCAAAGTCCTTTGTGTCCACTGGGCACCCTTAGGGGCATGGAACCAGTGTGAACCTCACAGTGTCAGTCAGTTGCTCACTTCCTATAAAGGTGAAGTGCCCTCAGTTGTTGCTTCCTGGTCGAAGAAGCTACAGATGGACAGATGCTTTGCAGTACCACTCACCTTCCTGAGCTCTGAGGCCATCGTGGGTTGGTCGCCATAGAACTAGCATTTCAACACAATATATGTTCCTGTGCATCTGTGGGAGAGTTGATAGGAACACCGGACGGCCAGGTTTGCTGAGGTTCTGAGGGTGTCTGTGTGTTAGATTTACTGTAGGTCAAGTTGAGGCATTCAGGAGGGGGATTAGAAAAGTGAAAACTATTAAATACAAACATAGAAGTTAATTCCCTACAATCTACCTTTACTGTCATGTCACATTTTGAATGGAATTCAAATTAAAGGTGACTTGATGGGGAAATCTTAAAACTTAGCGAAGCAAATCACTTTGATAACTGAATAATTATTTGTTGCAATAAATAAGATTCAGAAATGAGTTCAGGCAAGATCAAAGAGGTCCTGGAGAATGAAAATACTGCTCACAGTGTAATCCAGACTCTTGTTTCAGCTGGTCGTAGAGCTCCTCCTATTGGCCAATTCCATGATCAGAGTATATCCTTCAAAAATCTGTGATTTGAGAGCTTGGTCCGGTTTAATGGGTTAAAATTCAGAATATGTCTTAGTTTTAAATAAAAAATTTTAAATGAGTTTATTTGATATGTTGGTATTTTTAGAGCTTGAGCAAACTTCCTGTTCCTGTTGATTACATGCTGCCTATTTCTTGTGTAAGGGGATGATTCCCATAAAGTCGGACCATTTAAAAGTCCTAAAATAATCCAAATAATCATTCTTCACCAGCTCTGATTGGTGTTGTGGACCAAAGTCTTATGAAGGATTTTCCTGGCCCTGCTGGGGAGGTTGCAGCATATGCCCCCGGAGTTGTCAGCCCTGCTGTGGCGCAAGATGGCGATGGCAGAAGGGTCGTCAGAAGCTCAATTAAAGCCCCACATGTCCAATTCATTGAAGGAAAGGTATGGTAAATTAGCAGAATATGTGATTTTAAATGTGTACTTAGACTAGAGGCTGTTGCATTTGTTGTTTCAGAATTCAAATTTCATTTAAAATTAGTCAATGTACGTTCCTTACTGATATTTGTGTGCAGGCTCTTGCCAGTTTGAACAGGTCTCTAACTTTTTTCTGATGGCTGTCCAAAGCACAATATTTCAACATACATTATATTAATGCAAGTAAGTAATTTACTAGCTCTTTTGACATAATCATCCTATTAAACCCCCAAATTGTAACAGCTATGATGATTTGAAATTTGTTTGTTACAAGTTAATTTTAAAGTACATCCTGTCTTGATTATTTTAATTACATCAACTTGAAGTTTTTGAAATGAACATAAATGGTCTTTATGAGAAAGACTGCTTTTCATTAATCTAGCACTGATGAAGTAGAAATTCTTAAGCAAGAGTAATTGTTTTGTGACTAGTGAGTGAGAAGATGGGGTGTTACCCTTTGGCCTCATTTGGTGCATGCATAGCAGTCAGTAGAGAAGGAACCTATCTTATGTTTTCAGATTTGTCACTGTTATTTTATGTTACCTTACCTTGGGCAAGTAAATTCAGGTAGAGGTTGATTTGAAGAGGCTTTGATTTCTCCAGATCTCTTTTCCCTGTCTGCACAAAGCAACTTTTTTATAGGCAACATTGGAAATAAATACGAAAAAGAAATCATCCTATAGATTATAATGTTTTCTAAATTTAACTCTGAAAACTTTAACGACATGCAATATGAATTTATAAAGAATCTGCCAGATGAGGTAAGCTGCTGGTACGTGAGGAATTCCTGCATGACAGCCTCTAATGCTCAGCATAGAGAGCTCAGGGACCACATGGGCCCTTACGCCACATGGACAAGGGCTTTGGGTGTCATGTGCCGTCAAGTCGTCTCCATATCTTTGTTAAAAATCCTGAGAATATCAGTATTTAAAAGTTTATTTGGTTGAAAATTATTCAGTTAAAAATAACAAAAATCACATCTAACTTCTGAACTGCTGAAAAGTTGTCAGAATCATTTATAATTATGCCAAAAAGGCACCCAGGAGAGTGACTACTTAGTCTGAAACAGAAGAGCTCAGCATTTCAGTGTCTGCTCCATTTTGCCTAGTTAATTTAATACATTGTTATTTTTTGAAAAGTTCTTTTAAATTCCAAAGGAAATTCTCCTTATCTTCAGCAAACAACTGGATGTGCTTATCTTCAGTGCTTTAGAATGTCTGTCAGCAACCTGGTCTAAAAGTAATAATGACATTTGAATTTCATTGGATCTGTTTGCAACCAGTGGGAAAATAATAGTCTATAAATATAGCCTATACCTATAAATTTTATGCTATAAAAGTGGTCAAGTTTTCTTCTTTAAAAATGGATCATTTAATTCATTTTCTAACTGTACTGTTAATACAATCCCTACTTCAGAGTAAAAGTTTTTTCACTAACAACTCATTTCTTCTCTCCTCTTTCTCTTTTGTCTTTGTTTTTCCTTGGACTGTTTTTATTGTGTAATTTCATTCAATCACGGGTTTGCTCCTGAGAATAGCCTGTTTCTCTGTGTCCACCTTCACCACTCATCCTCTATGCTTCATCTCTTTCCCCAAACCTGTTGCCAGTCCCTGAAATGGACTTGCTTTCAGACATTTCCGAGGAAGACCCCTTTGGGGAGGCCGACCAGATCACACTAGACAGCTTAGATCTCCTTCCCATGGGCGAACCATCAGAGCAAGGGAACTCCGAAGTCGCCACCCTTGGGTCTGCCTCAGATCCAGTTGTAGACCCTCCTCAGCCTGACTGTCCTCCCACCCATGAGAAGCCTCAGAAAGAGACTGACCACAAGGATTCTGAGTTTGGGTATTTTTCCTTCAGTGTCTGCGAAGGTTTTCCCCCTAGCTTCCCCTCACTTCTTGATGAAGATGGCTATCTCGCCTTCCCCAGCCTCTCCAAAGTGTGGGTCTCCTTCCTCCCCGCTGACCTCCAGCACTGTGTTCTCATCAGCTCGCCCTCTTTCCTCCCTTCCCTCCTCCTCCTCTTTGGGCTGCTCCTCTCTGCTTCTCAGTCAGTGCCGTTTTCTCTCACCATTTCCCTTCCTCTGGCTCTAGCCCTCTGCTACCTGGAGGCGAAAGCCTCTTCCTTCAATGTGTCTTATGACTGTGACTTGAGTGACAGAACAGAGGGAGAGGAAGCAGTTGCTGGCACTCCTAAATAAGCTTTAATTTGTGGGGTCAACAAAACTACGCTTCATCTTCCTAATGTAGAGTGTAAACATGTGCGTAAATTTTTCCAATGATTACCCTCATAATAGTGTGATCTGCTCATTTTCACACATAATGACATTTTAGTGCATGAGAAATAGTGTAATTAAATACTTCTCCATTGATATCCATTGACCAAATCCACACTTCCTAAGTTGAGAGCAAAGATACAGGATTACTGTGTACATGTCCAGACCATTCTAGGTCTTTCAAAAAAAAAAAAAAAAGGAGAAGGAACCCTTTTTGTCCTCCCAGACAATCCATATTGGGTCTGTCTCTCTTGTAGACAAAAAAATGCTGTTCCTTTAGAGTAGAAACTTGTTTTGATATAGAGTTTAGGATGCAGTGGATATAATGTAATTGATGTATATTAATAGAACTCCTTAGTATTGTTGTTCCTTTTGTTAGAAAGCCAGCCTCCTCCTTGCATTTATGAGGATGTGTCTGTGACCCTTACTCCTGACATTTGTAGGTCTAATCACAGAAATTCCTGTCTCTGTTATTGTGTTATTGTAGCATTTGGGGACCAGATTAATTTCAGGTAGTGTTTTTTTTTTTTAACTGTAAATCATGTAATTATATGAAAGAGACACTGTCAAGTATTTTGTAAGGAAGATACTATTCTATTTAACAAATATGTATGAAAAATGAAATGTGGCTTTTTGAAAACTTAGACTGTATATAGCCCTATGGTTGGGCCTCTTAAGTGTTCTTTTATTTAAAATTAGTTCTCTGGTTTGAGGATTTTTACCCCTCCCTCTGCACTACTAGGCCAGTGTTAGCATGTGCAGTATGTTTTTAATTGTTTTGCTAAATGTGGTCTGGCGACTTAGTGTCTCATCCTGTGCATACTATCAATGCAAAGAGTAAATCACAAAATTTAGAGCAAACCTAAAGAAAAATGTGAAGATAATGTTCTGTTTAGGCATAGTGGGAGAAACCATGGATTTTAAGATTGCCTGAGGAGTGCTAAAGATTGACATTTTTGAAAATTGTGCTGACCTTGACCAAGGAGCTGAAAGATGATTCTTAACAGATTGCTGTGTGGCTGTGTCTCATTTTTCCCTTCTAATAAAAAGATACTCTGAGCTCCCTGCTTACCTCTCAAAAATACTTGAATGGTTAAAAAAAAAAAAGCATTTTGAACTCTCAGATTTGACACTATCATTCCAGTAAAGAAGAAAAAAATATGTGATTTATGATGCTGCTGTGAATTAACATGCAAAGGTTAAACTTTCAATTTGGTGTCAAAATCAGAATTTTTTTTTCTTGCTATTCCTTTCCTTGAATCAGTAGTTGTCTGGATTTATGTTAGTTTTAAATTTACAGATTCATTCTTTCAGGTCATTAGATGCCGAGAACTGCCCAACTATGAAAACCTGTTTCTTTTTTAGAAATTTTTATGAAAGAAAAGTGGCTATAAAATATGAGTATTTGTAATATCCACCATTTTAACATGAAAGTTACAAAAATAAACCCACTCCCCACCCCACCAAGGGAAATAAATCTAAGTTAAAAAACTAAATATTACAGTGAATGTTTGTTCCTGACATAAAATGAAAGCCCAATCTTATATCATTATATTTTGCCCTCATCACCAGGTTGATGTACACATTCAAATCAGAACAGATTGACTGATGCCATTTTTACACTCTTATATTTTCATTTCTGAGTAAAAAAAAAAAAAAATTTAAAAGCAGCACATAACCCTAGGGACTGAGAAAGAGTGAAGCTTCCTTCCATTCTCCATTCCACCTTTGCAAAGGATCATTTTCATCATTTGTACAACACTCTAGGTGAAGAACCAAAGTGGCTTAATAATCTGCATCTTCTGAGGGCCAAGCAATCAAGGTTGGTAGTCCTGGTTCACCATTCAAGTTCAAGTACAGCCTCTTTGCACCGATGGTACAGTTTTCACTATTACCCCCACTCCACCCACCTTCTTTCTGGCCATTTGCTGTGTGACTTTCAGGAGAAGATGGAAGAGGAGGAAACACAACTGGAGGAGGTGGCTGTTTTTCCCCCAAAGTTCAGTATCTGGTGGCTGCTGCCTGCCATCACTATTGTATGTGGGGTGGTGCACTTTCAGGGTTGATTTTTGAGTTGTGCTTGTTGTGGCTTTAGGTTCTAAAGATTTTTATTCCTCTCTTATTTTAATGTCTTAGACTATCCAATTCTGGGTCATTTTCTGGTGCTTGCTGATTGATACACTTATGTTTATTTGCCTTTTCCCCCTGTGTGTGATTTAATTTCACAGAAAAATTCCTTGAGAGTAGAAGGGGATAATATTTATGTCAGACATAGCAATTTAATGTTGGAGGTTTGTATGACTTAAGAAAACAGCTCTGTCCTAATGGCTGCCAGGCTGCTGTGGACGGGAGGTCACGCACAGGCTGGCTGGCAACTTTCTTCAGCACAGTGCATGAAATGCATGGGGGAAATTGAACTTGGGAGTGCATGTTACCAGTTGGGCTTTGTTCTTTTTAAGTAGCTTAGGTAGGAATATGTATACTAGAAGTTCTCAGAGTGACAACTGGGAAAAAAAAAGTTCTGGTTAATAAAAAGTTCTTTTTATCCATTGATCTTAAAGTTCTGCAAGTAAACCTATTCTCTCCTAATGGGTTATCTCCAGGGCATAAAATCTGAAGTAACATGATCCTATCCATAATATTCCTTCACCAGAACAGGTATTTGTTGATCTGGCATTAAGTCACTTGGCTCTACAGCTGTGTCCACAGTTTTTGGGGGACGGTGGGGGTGGGTGCTCCAATGCATGTAGTTAGGAATGTGATCCATTTAAAGTATTACATTTGAGAATATGCTAATTAATGGTATTGCTTTGATTAAAAAGAATAAATGAAAAAATGAGAAAGCAAGGAGAGAGAGAAATAAAACCTTAGCCACCCAATCAGGAATGTAAAATAATACATTCCCCGTGTCACATGAGAACATTTTTTTTTTGTCTTTTTTCCCCCCTTCTTACTTTAGGGTAATAAAATGGCAGTGTATTCAGTGGAGAACTGCAGTTCTCAGTAATCTGACTAATCTGTTTGGTTGCTTTTGGCAGCTTTGATAACTGTTAAAAATGTATTTTTGCATAACTTACTAAAATGCTCTAAAGTGTAATACATAACATTGCTTTGAACAAATGCAAGAAACGTGCCTGTTCTCAAGCCACAGTCATTATTCCATGCCATGCAAAGATTTTTAGATTTTTGTGAGTTTTTGCAAGTGGCTATAGAAGCTCATAGATGAGCTACTATGCTTGTGCATGAATATGGAATATCTAATTTTATCAGATGCATGACTTGTTCCTCTGGGAGTGTGATGAAAGCTATAATCCATGGGTGGTCCCCATGATTTTTGGAATTTAGGAAAACATTTAAAATACAGTTAAATTGGTTTCCTAAAATTGATTGCCTGCTAGCCTCACAAATACTGTTTATCAGGGCCAGTCTAAAAATTCCCACAAATAACCATTTCTCCGAGCCTACTCCAGTGAAAATCAACCTGGAAGTTTTCTGGAATCTTTTTCTGTGTAAGGACCCTTCGGCATTTGGGGTAGCTGGGCCCCACATTTGTGCTTGGCAAGTACATGAAACCAAAATGAGTTTTGCATATTTTATTGAGAGGCTAAACAGAAGCAGCCTCTGGAATCCGTTATTTTTATTCCTTCAGGATTAAAAGCACCATGGAATTTCCTGAAAAAAGTTAACCCTTGGTGTTTCGCCCTCCCCACCTTTTTTCGGATGATACTGGACTGGCTTTCCCGCCAGGATAAATGTGCTTCTGAGTCCACCTTTCTCTGTTTGCACTTGGTTTATTGTGTTCACCCCAATCAGAAAGGTAAATTTGCAGGAGCAAATTCATAGGCTGCATTTCAAGTCTAACTATTAGGAAAAAGGGTTTTTAACCATTTTGAGTACCATTAGTTCCATGGCTTCCTTCTAAAATGGAAATAATTACTTCTTAAAAATTCTAAACAAAAAATTAGAACCCTTTATAATGTGAATCATAAAAAATTTCACATTGGCTTTGTTTTCAAATTTTGAGGCCCTCATATTCATAGGTGATAATATGGCTTTTGAGACTTGGCATTTTTCTTGCTTTACTGTGTTTTTTTAGTCATAAGTTTGATTTGTCTTATTTTTTGGTTTTATTTTTTATTTTTGTCCTACTGGGTTTTTCTTTTTGGATTTCCCCCTGCTTTATTACGTTACATATTGCTAGGACCTGGATAAGGCCCAGGAAGACATACTGAAACATCAGGCTAGCATTAGTGAACTCAAGCGCAATTTTATGGAATCCACACCTGAGCCGCGCCCTAATGAATGGGAAAAACGACGTATCACACCTCTGTCCCTACAGACACAAGGGGTATGTCATTAGCTATTTGTTGGCTGTTTGTCTCCAGTTCTTCAGTAAATCTCAGGTTGCTAATCTGTAATGCTGATTCTCAGAAAGTTACAAATGTGCTCATTTTGGTTTTTTATGTAATTGCTAACAAGTTTTTAAATACTAAATATTTATTAACAATGTAATAATTGATGTACATTTTAGGTAATTGAATTTTGAAATAATTTTGAAATAATTTTAGTCTTACTTGAGTAAATTAGTAGACAACATTAATAAAATGAATTCTTATATAAAGTTGCTTAGAAACTGATGTTTTTAATAAGCTTTTCAGTTATTGACTTCTGCAGTAAAAGAATTTATGTAATAAATAATAATTAAAGGGATGTAGGAATATAGACCATATTTGGCATGGTTGAAGGTAATTACTGTGCAGATAAAGTTAAACTTAGCTTCAAGGACTGATGAGCCCTGTTGAAAACTTGCAAAATATTGTATCTTACAACTTAATACTGAAACTTCTCAGTAATGAAATATAGACTGTTTTAAAAGCATTTTCAACCATACCGTCATTCCAGACACTTTCTTTTCATGGTTTATTTCTCCCTGCCACTGACGTAGGTATTGCCTTTAGAATGCATTTTCAAAATATTTCTCTATGTAGTTCTTTTCTGAGGCTCTAAAACCTGTTATCAACCAAAACTTCCATGGGCTCATCTATCATACTTGAGGAGGTAGTGAACTATGCTATATTTAATATGCAGTGTTTAAAAGTGTGTAAAGGTGTTATGCTACACTTTCATCTTTTCTCTTTGCCTTATGCCCCTCTCTTCTCACATTGTCTGGCTTGAATGTTACCAAATTGTAGAGATTTGATTTAGATAGTCTCATGCTATTTTTATTCGCTTTTTCTTAAAAAGCTAAGCTGTTGATCGCTGTAAATTTCTAAATTTGTGACAATGAAAGGGAAATAGCTCTTTTAAGAAAACGGATGAGAAAATACTGCTGAACTGAAAAAATGAAGCTGAATGATACCCAGATTTAAGACACCATCACAAGGTCTTACGAGGTTGTGAACGACTTAAATTCTTATTTTCAGATTTTCTGAAGATACTAGTGCCCATATTTCAGCAATCACCTCTAGAGCGTTGTGTTTTCTGGAGAAACAGTGTCTGGTGACATGCTAAGATTTTGTCTTTCGTTTATGTGCCGCTTCATCTGGTTTGTTTTGTTGATCTACAGAGTTGTTTTATGTTCGTGTTGCTGTAGATGTAATGTTCTTGTCTTATTTGTTGATTATGTCTATTGTTTAAAACAATAGAGAAAAGGAGACCATCTTTTCAAGGATATTTTATCCATGAAGGAGAAGCATCAGATGACAGCAACACGGACAGTTGAAGAAAAAGCCCAGGAGGCAGACAAGGTGTTCACCTTGCATCCTTGGATCTGCTCTTGCTTTTTCCCCTTTCCTTTATTTCTGTCCACAACATAAGATACTCCTTTTTTTATGTATCAGCGTAAATTTGTTTCGAAATACTTGTTGAGTGTTTGAAAAGTTCACTCTCCATGTATAGAAACATAGGGTCATTAGGTGAGAAACACTATATTGCAGAAGTACTTTATTTGAAAACTTACAATTTGAAATGTAGACTTATTGACCAGTTTAGGTGATTAAGTGGTCCCTATTTTTGATGTATGTGTCTGACAGCCAGGAAACCATGATTTCATGTAAAAATGCCCAGTTTACACAATGCTTGTGCAGACTGTGGTTGTGGTAAAATGACAAATTATGTGTGATTTAGGTCACCATTTTACTAATTTCATTTGTAAACTTAACATTTACATTTTTAAGATTTTTAATGGAATAAAAGGTTTTGGTGTCTCAAAGTGGGTCCCTCAGCTCACTCTCTATGCTCCTGCTTGTATGAAATATCTGATATTAATAAGGAAGTTAGCTTTCTGTTGCTTTTAAATTCTTACTATTCTGTTCCTACTGATTTTGCTTAGCCAGCTGGTCAGCCTATTATTTGCTGGGAATAGAATGCTTAGAATCTTAGTGGAGGAGATAAGCAGGCATGTATATTAGTAATTAGAAAATTTGGATACAAAGAAGTAAATATTAAGAAGATGAAATACAGTGTTGTGTTAGAATGTGATTGGGAAGGCTGCTTTACCATTGTGGCCAGAGTGAGGTGGCCTTTGAGTTGAGACTTTTGGGAGGGAGGTGTACATGGGATTTTCCCATGTGTAGGGAGGGAAGAGCAAGGGTACAGCCCAAAACAGGAACTAAAATTTAAGGAACTGCAAGACCAAGTTGCAAAAGCCTAGAAAAACAGCAAAGGTCAGACTCCAGATTCTGTCAGGGTTGTAAAGACCGTATTCCTTGTTTGGAATTGTACTCTAGGAGTGATGGGAAGCCATTGGAGAGCTTTAAGCAAGCTGGTGACATAACCCCATGTGTCTGGTGAGACTCCACTGGTGCTGGATGATGGATGGGTTATAGGAGGTATGAATGAGAGCAGAGTTCAGTAATGAAGAGGTATTTCTCTTCCACAAAGTCTGATTTTGTTAATCAGTAGAGTCTTATTCATAAGAACATAGAGTGGGGGAGGAGGCAAAATTAATGGAAGATGAAGCCTTGCCCTAAAGAAATTCGAGGTGTAGCTGAGGTGAAATATTTCCAGAACACTGGAAATGAGAAAGATGATGTCATGCAGCTAAATCAGGTGGCGTATTGATAGACTTTAACGGTTAGCTTGAAATCCAAAGCCAATCAGACTGTATGTAAAGTGATGGCCTCAGTATCGCATGTTTTGAAGTGTTATGTAGTTTTGAAAATTTATCCTCTAGAAGCAAGTCAGATGACATCATTTGATCAATTTAAAGAGATGTCCTTGTACTATTTGCATCAGGGAACTTTGGAATTTTGGTGAAGGTGTTTGAAATTGTCATTTTTCTGGGTGTTATAGTTTAGGAATGTACAATGGAAAGTAAGTGTAATAGAAAGCATTTACTCATTCATTATTGTAGAAGTTCAATTAAAATACTATGTGAGAATTAAATCTGGAATTTACCAGCTTTTAACATTCTAAATGGTTTTGTCCGCCCTTGAAGTTACTGCTTTATTCTTATTCCTTTCCAGTGCATGCAGGAAAATAGGTACTTATTTGACATAGTACAGGTTGTCGTAACTGCAATCATCCATTCATCCAGCCTCCCAACAAACATTTATTGACCACTTACAGTGTCTCTCCCCACAACCCCCCAGTACTACTAGTTGAAAATGTGTTTACTGGAGTTTTTGACTTTTAATAGAATATCTTTCAAATTTCTCCCATTATATCTTATCTTCATTTTGCTACTAATTTTGCAGTGTTTTTGTAATCCTTAATGAATGTAAAATAAAATATTATGCAATGGAATATAATTTGGCCAAATTTTCCATATTTCTACAATGGGTTTGATAGATAAAATAATAACAGTAAAGTAGTTCTTTAAAAATAAATATATCAGGCTCTCAAAATGGCTTCAGCTTGAATATGAATGATTATGAGAGTAGAGCAGAAAATTGGAATCCAGATCATTTAGTCCTTAACAGGTAAATTAACACTACTGAACATCCTCTTAGGTATTGTGAGGATTATGACATACTTAATCTTGTATAAAAGATTCTCTCATGAGTAGAGAATACATAGGCTGTAATTTAAGGTACTTCTGAAGATATTTTATTGAAAAATTAAATGCATTGCACTTATTTAACCTCCCCAGTGCTCTTTTACAGGGAACAATACCCTACCCTCTCCACCCACCCGACCCCCCCGCCCCCGGCCCCTAGGGATGGTGTGATTATGGGGATTGTAATAAACCTGAATCACTCTAGAAGCTTGTTTTTCTCTCCTGAATATTGCAAGTGATTACATATCTCACCCTCATTTCATTGTCCCTACTCCTGACCCCTCTAAGTGCACTGTCCCAAGGAGCATCCCATCCCAGAAATATCCCTCATTCATTTATCTACTTACCTCAAAGATCTCTGACCAGGGCGGTGTTAGGAGGCCCTCTTCCACACTCTGACACGAGGGGGAGCTTTGTGGTGACTCTGTACTGTTGGCATTACAGGTACTTGGGACAGTCCCCAGATTTCCTGTTGTGCCCTCAGGCAGGTTACACCATTGCCTAAGGGCCAGAAATGTGAAGGTTAAATTCCACCTTAATAGTTTTTCAGGGACAGATAATTTTCACACTGCTCACTTCTGAGTTTATCTTCCTATTTAGAATTTTTTCTTTACCTGTTTAAAAAAAATACTGTTTCTTTCCGTGGCATATTTAGCATGTCTGAGGGAACTTCTGTAGTTGCTGTCAGAGCACTTGTACAGACATTGAGAATGGTTTGAAGAAGAGAGAGTAGGAGCTGGACTAGTAGGGAAGGTTGTCCACAAAATGCAGAATATTAAATGGACCTCAGAGAGATGACAAAATCAGAAAAGCCAGAGCGCCTAGGGAATGGCATTGGAGGCAGGAGGGTAGCATTACCCAAACTCTAACAGAAGAGTAGACATGGCGAGTGCAGAGGCCATTCAGCACAGGAAGAGGTGCAGGCGGAGGAACTACCTCAAGAATATACGAAATAGTATTTGATGGGTGGTGGGTCAGTCATGCTCCGTTTGTGATAAAGCTTCAGTGATAAGCCAAGGAGTTTCAGCTGGTTTCTGTAGGTTGGATCTATCCAAGATCTCAAGCAAAGTGGAAAGCTGGCATTCAGGCAAACCACCACGTACGCCTGCTGCAGAATTTTTCAAAATCCTTGCCTTTCTTTCTGTTCATGCTGTTCTGTGATTCTTTCTTGTGTAACCTTCCCTTTCTTTCAATAGGTCACTGCTGTCTGTCCTGACTTACTGCTAATACTATGCTCTTCCTTCTCTGACTTCTCCAGAGCCTAGAAGAGGAGATAACATCACTTTTGTTTAGTGAAAAGGGCTTTTCTGATAGCATGAGAGCCACCTTCACCTCAGCCACCACTTGGACAGCAGAGGGCGCTGTTGTGAACTGTAATGCACCTTCTGAAAAGCTTGCTTCCTCGCCCTTCTCACAGTTGCCTGAGGTGCATTTTACTTTGTTTCCCCTTTTTTAAAAAGCCACATAGGAGAGTAATTTTTATTTTTTTGGATATTTAGGAACCTTTCCATCCAGTGCTTTCATTGGTAAAATTAACCCTTCCTAGGAGAAACATTCAAGAAATGACAGAATTTGGACATGAAAAAAAGATTGAGATTGGATGTTTCTCCTGCTGCTTTTGCTCCCCACTCCTCACAAGTTTGCCTAAATTCAGAGAATCATTAATTATTAATTAATCGCTAAGGCCCAGAGTGTGAGTTACTATGCAGAAGGAAAACCTCAACCAGTTAGAAGCTAAACATGTTTTGCAGAAACATTTTCAAGGACTAAATCTTTTTCAGGCATCTTCTGATAGCATATTATTTTAAAAATTCTGTTTATATGAAAAAATTTGAAGTGCCTACCATACTCAGTGAAATAATTATTTTAATATTTTGGACTGACCCAAAGGGATTCTCTGAACTTGGGCAGAACCCATCTGGACATTTGAGGTTAAGTAATCCTGGTAATTCACTGACCTGTAATATCAGTGAAGTGTCTGCGTTAGAGATGTTTTGATTACTAGATGTCTTTGAAGAAGTTTGCAAGTGGTGAAATGTTACTCAGTTACCAAAATAGTTTCAGAACATCTGAAAGCTCTGGGTTTTCAGTAAAACTGGAAGGAATGCTCTCTTGTTCTGTCAGTAACATGATTTATATAATATTAATTTTGAACAATGAAAATATGCTCTTACCATGCATCTAAGAATAATAGTGCAGATCAAAGAGAGTGTGTGAGTATATATTGATAGGTGCTGCCAGGCGTTTGTCTTTTCAGAATCTGTTACTCATGGTTATCTATGTCATTAGGGCAGACGAACATGGGATCCTGCTGTCTGTTAAAGGAACAGCTTTTATATAGTTAGTGTCTTGACAATTTCACAAGGTTCATTTCTGCCCAGAAGATTGAGAGGTGCAATGCCTGTTTACATTCAGCATGGAGATATCTTCTTTCATAAGTAGGTCTACTGTCTCTAGCTGAATTATTTTTAAGTTAGATTATAGGCTATAGTGCCACTTGAATATCCAGAGTTGGAAGGTCTTTATTTGTGTCAGTGTAAAGTAGTCTTTTTTATAAGTTACAGGAAAATTGTAAGCTTTAAAACAAAGTCTTTAGTAGGAAAGTTTCTACACTAGTTGTCAATGCCAGAGCATAGTAATTTATATTACTAATGTATTTGGTCAACAGGTATTTGTTTAAGATTTAGATATTGTACTACTCAACTAGAATGAATCTCTCAAGAAGTAAATGTCTGGAGGGGGCAGGAATAAGCATCTCAAATAATAAACTTGGTTTATTTCCATTTTTAAAGATGCTAGTGGAGCAACTAAATTCAAAGAGAAAACACTTGGAGCTGCCATTGACACCTACCCTTATGCTATAATATCCCTTTTGCTTGTCTCTAAGACAGCTTGAGATATTAATAACTGTTTCTGAAATGACACCATTCTTTTGTTAATAACTGCGACCACCTATAATTTTGCCAATTAAGACCGTTTTTTAAACAAGCCAGCAAAACAAACCCCATTAATACCATATTCATTGAGGAATCCAGATTTCAGGACAGGCTTTATAGTCTAATTAAAATTACAATTATTTGTTGAGTAGGTTTTAGACGTTTTATAATTTAAACTTTAAAATGTCAGTAAGCTTTGGTATAATTACATTTTCTCCCCCAGCTTTTCCGCTATATCAGTAGAGCCTATAGGTGTAACTAAAAGAAAAGCATTTCATTTCTTTGGGAGGATGCTGGCTGTGTGTATGTGTGTGTGTGTGTTTCTGTATCCTTTTGTATGCCTTTTGCATTTGTCTGGATTGTCTTTCACGTGACTCTGAGCAAAGATTTTGTAGATGTTGATTCTTGCTGTTTTTGTCTTTGCGGTGTTGGCTGTTTGTTTTGGTGGGTGTTGAGGTAAAACTGTATTGATTTTGTGTCCTCGGTTGCTTTTTGTTTCGCAGAAACGTGCTCCTGCGTCTGAAGGGCCTTGCACTGGAGCCAGTGATGCTGTTAAGGTTCTCCCCTTTTCCATGTTAACACCATTGCCTGACCTTTCTGATCCTTGTCACATTCTCCCCGCTTCCCTTTCAGTCAGCCATCATCACCATTGTTTTCCTCCATGACATGAACCTACCATCAGTTAATTTTGGTTTCCATCGTTTTTATTTATTTATATATTTTGTTTTTTCCCTCATCCATTTTTTTTTTGTACAGAGTTCACATGAGACTCTGAATGTAGTGGAGGAGAAGAAGCAGGCAGAGGTTGGGAAAGACGAAAGAGTAATCACAGAAGAAATGAACGGTAAAGAGATATCACCTGGGAGTGGTCCTGGGGAGACTCGTAAGGTGGAGCCTCTGACACAGAAAGACTCCACCTCCCTGTCTTCTGAGAGCAGCAGCAGCGAGAGCGAGGATGAAGTGGGAGAGTACCGGCCCCACCAACGAGTGACCGAGGGCACCATCAGGGAAGAGCAGGAGTACGAAGGAGAGGTGGAGGAGGAACCCCGCCGAGCAGCCAAGGTAGTGGAGCGGGAGGAGCCAGTGCCAGCGGCCAGCCCCGTCAGACACGCGGGGGCCAGTGTGAGCGCAGGAGAGACAGGGACCCAGGAGGACGTAGTGACCCCAAAGGAGCCCGCAGAGAGGAGCGCGCGCCAGGGCGCTGTCCAGCAAGGCCTGGATGAAGACACGGAGGAAGAGCTGCACAGAGTTAACGGAGAGGTGGCTCATGTTGACGTTGATGTTTTGCCACAAATAATTTGTTGTTCAGAGGTAAATTGGACGCCCAAGTGGGAGCTAACTAGAGCTGTCTCTCAGGTGGAGAGCACCTGTCTTTCTTCTACTGCTGTCCTCCCAGTTCGCCTTCAGCTTTTCCAACAAGAGGCTGATTTTTTTCTCTCCTGGGAGGAAGTGGGAAAGCACACGGCTTTGTAGATTCTCTGCCAACTCGGGTCATGGTGTCTAGCTTCTGTCCTACAACTGGATCACCTGATAGAGTAAACTTTCCTACACCAACCTGCCATTTTTTTCTTGTCATTGCACTTTTACATTTCCTTTGCATGTTTTCGATGTTTTCAGCTGTTTGTCTTTGGTTGCTCTGCTTTCTCATGCTAAATGCCTTCTTTGTTGGTATAGACAGAAAATTGTCTATGTGACTCGGAAAATAGTGTGAGTGTGCATGCTGTTGGTGTCCTGAGTTTGACTTTTTGTTTCATTCTCTTCAACTTTAGATGTTTAGAAAATATCATCAGGTTCTCATTACGATGGGCTCTAAATTCAGCATCTGGCAGTGATGAAAACAGTACCTCTTGACTATCACTGTGATGTCTGTTTTCGGGTTCCAGGGGACGGTTTGGTCAAGAGTGTTTTCTTTCCTTCTAGGTAGTCAGAGCCTAGACTGTTTAGTAGGAGGATGCTCTCCTTTTTCCATTCTGTGCTACCATCAATTCTGGATTATTTGCAAGTTGATTATACGTTTTGTGGATTATCTACAGTCTGTATAAATCTTCCCTGTTTTCTTTTCAAGAAAGAACTTTGCACACGCATATTAGGTCTTGGTTGCTAGGTGTAGTGTCTTGGAATTGGGAGTTAAGTTAGGGTGAGGGGGGTTTACTGCCAATGAGAATGTTTCTTGATTCTAAAATGCCCCCAGTGTAGGGATTATCTGTATTTGCTCTCTTTGATGAGCTGGGAAGTTAAGTGACTTTGTCTTGAAATAATTAAATGGATTTTTACTATGTTATTTTTAAACTTTCATTTCAGAGAAGACATTTCAAGAGTCTTTAAATGCTCTAAACTATCATTTTCTGCATTAATATATCATTGTTCTTCTTTAAATAATTATACTGGGAAATTTTCTCTCAAAGTCCTGGTAGTATTTTGGTAACAGTAGAGACTGGTGTTGTCTGTTAAACACACGTGCTCAGCAGACTGTCCTGTTACCAGGCCATGAGCCTCTCCTTTAATATTTTTAATTTTTCTAAGTATGAATGCAACATTGGTAGAGTAATTCTAGATGTAATTTAATTTATGTAATACAGAAGAGACATGGCAAGTTTTAGACAAGTATAATTGAAAACAATCATAACTGAAGATACTCTTTCTGAAAACGGGATCTCCTTGTTAATAGGGCTGAAGAGGCATTTGGGGGTAAAGAGCAAATCTTAGCCTACCAGCTGGTGTGAGATTAAAGGCCGTGAGCCTTCTAACAAACTTTGTGGGTCTTTAAACTGCAGTAAAAAATTGAGGCAGGTCACTTCATATAGTTCATTCTGTTTTGTTCTTGTCAATTTTATCATTATATCCCCAAAGCTAAAGTTTATATATCACATCATGCTTGACACATAAGCAGTTGGGACTGTCATAATTTGAAGCTTACCATAATTTAGGGAGCCATTATGGTAGCATACTCTTCATATATGTGTGTGTGTGTGTGTGTATATATATATATATATATATATATATATGTGTATGTATATACATATATTTGAAGAAAAATGTTTTTTTGTGTGTCTTAGAGTATTTACTTTCACCCTTTTGTGCATGAGTGTGTGTTTGTATATATTTTTTTACTATTATTTTTGAAGGTTCCATTAAGCACTTTTACTTCATTTCTGCTAGAATTCATTTTTCCCTTCCTTTCCACCTCAGCCACCAGTGGTAAAAACAGAGATGGTAACAATTTCTGATGCCTCACAAAGGACAGAAATCTCCACCAAGGAAGTCCCTATTGTCCAAACTGAGACCAAAACCATCACATACGAGTCTCCACAGGTATAAAAACTCTAGATGTGGACTATTTGAGTGTTTTTTACTTCATCTGTTTCCTCTTTCATCTGTCCTTCTCCTAGCTTACATGTTTCTGACTTTGATGTAGCTTTCTGTATCTCTGTTTTATAACTGTACTTCAACAACATAACTTGGTTGCTTCCTAGATTGAAACAGAGAGCTGCAATCAAATTGGTGGCCCAGTAATTATGAGGAGAAGGCATACACTTGATTATTTAGGGCAGGCAGTACCAGTCTTGTTCAGATTATTATAAACCATTTCTGGCTCAATGTATCCAATAATGTTTATGCACACTTGGGAAACAGATCATCTTACAGAGTTTAATAGATCTGATGTAACTTGTGAATTAGTAGGATTTAGGCTCTCCCCTGACCCCCATCCCCTGCAAACTCCATGAAGACAGATCCAGTCAACTCCCTCTTGCTTCCAAGTACACACACATCTGCGATTATTATTTTCTGAAGACATATGCCATCATTCTTATGTAAACATGCTGTGTGTCTAAATGACCAGATTTTTGTGTTTGATTTTAGATATTCAGACATTGATTCTGTAAATATGTAAAGTAAACATTAAGATGTCTAAACTTAAGGGTAACAAAATAATGGAAATTATTCTTTGTTTCAGAATGGAACCATTTAGAAATTTGTACTACTTTTCTTGACTGAGGAATTTAGTGTTCTATAGTAGGATTGTACCATGGTGGAGGGTGACAGATTATTGCCCTCTCAAAGTCTTTTTTAAAAGGTTTAATTTGTGTGTGCCAGAAACATTCCTCAAAATTATTTTAGATATGCTATCCATATCTGTGTAGAACCCACACCAGCACAGATAGGTTTCTTGTGAATGGATTTGGTTGGGGAGCATGTACTCGTGTCTGTATTGTGGCAAGTGCCATCACAAAGAAATAGAGGTGTGTGACCCAAGCTTGAGAGACTGCTTCTTAATTTACAGTCTAAAAGGCTCTGGGCTTGGCAGTTATTCCCATTTGTCAGTATCAGGAAATGGAGACAGGTATGTTTGGTAAGTTTGGTAATGTTAACGTAAGCTCTTAGGCTATCAGTTTGCTTCATATTTCCTCTGGTAAACTCTAGGACTTTCTACCTTTTCTAGTATCAAAGCAAACAAAACCTAGTTATATATATGCATGAGATTTATATGTGCTATATTTATAGAAAGCACATAGGTGCATATAAATTGAAATTATGTGCCCATATATATATGCTCACCACACAAATTATTACAGGAATAATATTACTTTAAGATAGTCTAGAGATAGCAAATAACCAAATCACTCGTTTATTCTTTGCAGTCAGGTTCTGTTGCTTAGTGATCTTAGAAAATGTTTATCTATTTTTACCCACCTGTGCTTAAATAAAAAAAAGAACAACCCAACACTTCTGCTTACTGTGGCAGCTTGTCTGCCTGGTTCTCTAGTTTCTTTTTCTAGCTTCTGTTAATGGCCTTCAGTCAGATTCTCTCATGACTCCTTTGTAGCTTTCAGTCCCACCTGCTACTTCTATTCTGCCTTTTTTCTCTCTCCCTGGGGTTTGCTTTTCCACAGCATTTAACCTTTCCTTGCCTTTATTCTGTTTAAATGCTGGCTACCTCCTGGTCAGTAAAGTACCACTACAGATGTGCAAAGAGAGGCAGATAGTATGTATCATCTGCCAGTTGCCAAGATTTTAAATGATGCCTATTTGTTGGGGAGGGGTCTTCTCTGACAACAAAATGGAGGTTAAGCATTACTTTGTGTTTTTCCCCCAATTACCCAAAGATTGATGGCGGGACTGGTGGCGACTCGGGAACATTACTGACAGCACAAACCATCACATCTGAGTCTGTGTCAACAACGACAACCACTCACATCACCAAGGTAAAGCTGGCTAGGGGAAGCCTAAGGAGAGGATGGTACATGGCAAATAGGATCTTCTCTGAATTGTTTCTTTGTTCCTGTACACACTTCAAAGTAATACACAGACAGTGGCAGTGGAATAAAAATGCCTGGACTTAAATTATCCAAGAAATTGGGCTTCATTGAAAAATATATTTAAACTGCATTACAGTTTTATAAAGTACAAGGGGGTAAAAATATGTTACAAAAAGCTGTACCTAAGACAACTACAGGAGCAGAGAGAATTTAATGAAAGTGGAGGCACAGGTTTGGTAAGTACAAGCAAAGCCCCTCCTGACAGAAGCAAGTGAATTAAGACCATCATTCAGAATTTTCAACAAGTTGTTCAAATAATGTAAAATTCCTCTCATTGACTTGAGATACTGGTATGTTGATCTGGGGCATTTTCTGGATCTTTCCTTAAATGGTTGCGCCAGATGAACAGTGACTGTCCAGGTGTGGTCCTGAACTAGCAGCGGCAGGCTGCTGTGGTGACTGTCAGCAGCGTGAGTGCTGAGGCCCAGTCCAGGTCTGCAGAAACCCTCCAGGTGGCGCTGCTGTGTGCTATAGTCCGCAGTCTTCTGACTCCAGTGTTGCTTTCCAGTATTTCCTTGAGCTTCTCCTTCCCACGTTTGGTTAGTGCTTGATGGTCTTAAATGTATCCCTCCTGCCCTCCACGCCTCGTGTTGCAACAAAAAGCTTTGTAAATTAAAAAAGCCTCATAAATGCAAGATGATATTAGTGTTCATTTTAAGCATATTCAGGTTTTAAAGGCTAGTGATAAGCCTTGTTTCTTACAGTAACATGCTATCACTTCCGACTTAGTGTATATTTCATCAGTTAGTGTGTAATTTATCAGTGGTAGAGATTGGGTGTTTGCTTTCTCAGGAATGAATGGTATTTGCTCATTGGGTAAAATGTTGCAGCCATATGTTCTCTGCAGCCTCTCTCATGCCTCAGGCTCTGCCAGCTTGCCCCAAGCCAGAAGAAGAACTGTGTGCGCCAGTGCACCTGGGAGCGCCTGCCTGTGAGCCCCTCACACAGCCTAGTTCAGCCACGCTCCATTTCCACTTGCACAACTGCATGCAGAAACTGAAACCAAGTCAGACATTGAATGGAAATCTATATATCACCCACACCCATCTTCCATATTTTAACCCAAATCCAAAGTCCTCTTTTTTATTATTGCACAAAACCAAATGAACAAAATCACCAAATTAGAGGACTGTGACAGGAACCAAGCAGTCAAAAGCATGTGACGTTAAGCATTTCCCAAACTTAAGCCAGATCCCTAAATTGTTAAAATTCCATGTAATCTATGTAAACCAAATGATTATTTTTTCTTTCTCTTTTCAAAAGTTGGGCAACTGGGATTAAAGAATGCAAGAAACTAGTGGAATGTCCCAGTAGAACTATTTGGTTTAAATGGCATCTGTCCCATCTTAATCTCACCTGAATCTTGATAAATTAGTTTTAAGGCTGCTTTCAGTTGAGAAATTCTTATGGGTGCTACAGCCTTAACAATAGGATTCTTTATTGAGCTTAAAAATGAGGTTTTTAGTGCATCAGCCTTCCCTGCTCAGTGTTCATGGCCTCTGGATGATCAGAAGGCCTAGGTGTGTTCCCTTGCTCTTTTCTCTGGTTATGTGTAAACATGCTTTAGTGATTGCTGTTTTTCCCCTCCTTTTCTTTCTTTATGACCTTTAGACGGTAAAAGGTGGAATATCTGAAACACGAATTGAAAAGCGCATCGTGATCACAGGAGATGCAGATATTGATCATGACCAGGTAAAGACCTGAGGTTTGGATTCTGAAACTGGCCGTGTTGTCTAAGTTTGGCAGCTGTCATCGTGTCACATCCCAATGGCAAACCCTTCTCCCAGTGTCTCCTGGATGAATCCACCACCTCAGCCGGGCATAAAGAGACTTCACAGCCCAGACACAGCTCACCCTTTCAGCTCTCCTAACCCTAAGTCATCATCATACAGGGATTGCTCTTTATTTCCCCCCTGGCCTCACATGAACTTTTCAGTGAAAATAATCAAGAGCATGCCTAGCAACCATTAGGTATTCACTTGGGCCTGGTTTAAAGGCAAGTCATCAATTGCAAAAAAACGAATGATGGTTTAATGGTATTGGCTTCCAAAAAAATAAGAAAAGCCACTAAATGTGACTGATGACTACTTTTTTTTTTTTTTTTTAGAGGGCATCTCTCATATTTATTGATCAAATGGTTGTTAACAACAATAAAATTCTGTATAGGGGGGTCAATGCTCAATGCACAATCATTAATCCATCTCAAGCCTAGTTCTTGTCAGTCTCCAATCTTCTGAAGCATAACGAACAAGTTCTTACATGGTGAACAAATTCTTACATAATGAATAAGTTCTTACATGGTGAACAGTACAAGGGCATTCGTCACAGAAACTTTCGGTTTTGATCACGCATTATGAACTATAAACAATCAGGTCAAATATGAATATTCGTTTGATTTTTATACTTGATTTATATGTGGATCCCACATTTCTCCCTTTATTATTATTATTATTTTTATTTTTAATAAACCTCTGAAGTGGTAGGTAGATGCAAGATAAAGGTAGAAAACATAGTTTAGTGTTGTAAGAGAGCAATTGTAGATGATCAGGTGTGTGCCTGTAGACTATGTGCTAATCCGAGCTAGACAAGGGCAATAAAACATCCACGGATGCAGAAGCTTTCTCTCAAAACGGGGGAGGAGGTGAGGTTCTAAGCTTCACCACTGTTGTTCCCCAATTTCTCACCTGATGGCCCCCCTGCGACTGTGCCTGTCTTAGGTTGTTCCTCCCTTGAGGAATCTTACCCGTCTCTGGCCAACCAGTGACTGATGCCTACTTTAATGTTTTTCTTTCTGAAGTATTTTCTTTCTAAAATACTTTTAAGTATTTTAAATTACAGTATTAGATAAGTTGGGCTATTCACCATTACGGGTTTTTCCATAATTATACTAATAATTGAGGGGTGGGAAAAGGAAATCCAAAGTCGCTTACAAAGTAACAATTTACATATATTCAGAAAAAAAAATTAAAAGAATTGTGCTTCCGTTCTAATGTTAAGTTGAGCAGAATGCATAACTTAAAAAAAAAGCCAGGATGAGTGGAGCTGCTGGAGACATTGAGAGTAACTTTAATTTTAGACTGCAGACCCAAGTGATGATGAGAATTTTCTGTTTCATTATTTTCGGAGTTATTTTAGCTCAGCTTTAACAGTGACCATGCTGTTTTCCTTTTACAACAATTTGAAGAAAAGGAAATGTTCAGTTGACCATCTCAGCTGGGGAGTAGGAACAAATGATAGTTACCCAGCTTTGAACAGAATATTGAACTCAGGCAAGAGAATTTTAGACAATACAATTTCTTGTTTAAGAAAGGTTCATTATGTGGCCAAAAAGAAAACAGTTTTCTTCTATGCCTAAAAAGAAATTTACTGTTTTTTTAAAATTTTGCTTACATCTTTAGTAATGTATTTTTTGTCTTAATTCCTTTAGAGTTTTAGAGGACAAAGGTTGCCGTAACTCTGAATTTTGACTAAGCAGTCGAGAGTCCTAGTAGATTACCAGTGCACGTGTCTATTTACCACTGGAAAATGAATTACCCCTCTGTGGAAATCAAACCTCAGTTTCCCATAGAGAGTATTTATTCTGCTTTTCTTTACTGGAACAGTTTTGAGTTCCTCTGACCTTATGGTGTAGTAAACCCTATTCTTAGTCTTTTTTCTCTGGAACTCTGACTCAGCAAGGGTTTATTGAGTTCCTCATGTGTTAGGCAGGAGCCCACATGCTTTGGCATGGTAGAAAGTGGAAGATGTGGTTTTCACCCAGATTTGTCTCCTCCCCTCTCTCTCCACTGAGCCTATACCCTTTCAGGCTTTCAAATGCCACTTTTCCCTTGAGGATTTACACATGGATTTTCTTTTACGTTCATTCTTTTGCCTTCTGGCCTTTTTCACCCAAAACTCAAAACTAGGTAGTACTACTTCTGAATGGCAAATGTTAAAAACATAGTCTGAAATGTAAAGTACCAAAGTTAGCACATACTCTTAACTCTTCCATTAGAAAAAAAAGTCAGGATGATGTGCAGCGTTAACTGTTGCTACACAGCTTGTTTGTATGATATTGCATTTCAGCCCATTTTAAAACCAAGGTCACATATCCAAATGAAGAGAATAGATATTTAACTTTTGCATAACTTATCATATTCAGTTATAAGATGGTATCAACTATTCTAGGTATATTTAATTGTGGCTGTTGGTGTGCTTGTCACCAGGTGCTCATGCTGAGTTCATGTTTTCTGTGAAGCCTGTAATGAGTTGAGAGGGCTATTTAAAATTAGAGGGAAATCACTTCCCTGCCCAAAACTGATGTTGATCATGGAGCGACTGTACTATCATTGACACCTTTTGCAGTTACTTGTGTGTATTAAAGGAATGTTAGTAGTGGAAGGAAACCCTTCATCTGAGCAAGGTAGACAAAAAATCTCTGTGTTGCCAAATTGAAGAGACACGCTTCTCTAGAAGCTTGCTTTGCAGAATCTTCACCCTGTGCTAGGCAAGCCACTTGGAGCTCCATGCCAGGGAGGAGTAACCCACACTGCGGTTGCTCACCAGAGTGCATTGCTCTCTAATGAAATACTTTCCCAGTTTGGCTGTATGCAGTGAGAGTTCTGTCATCGCCTTCACTGTTACCATAATAAATTAACCTTTCTGTATAATATTTAATTTCATGTACAGATACTGTGGACAGAACAGAGGTAGTAGAAACTGATTTCATATGTACTTGAAGGTAATTGTAGCAGTTTTTAGTTTTCTCTTCTTCTCTGCTAATCAAAGCGTGTTTCACACGTGCCGTCTTCCCTTGGGTATCATTTATATTTCTTCTTGGACAGTTAAGTTGGTTGATGTAGGCAGACCTTTGTAATGAACACAAATTCAAGGTATCTGGTCAGTTGTCTGGAGCTACATTTGGCTCCATGAGATCTGTGCTTTCCCAAATTAGATTCCACAAACTAATGTGGAATAGACAGTTTTGACTGTTCTAATCTTGTAGCTCCCTTTACAGGCACACACAGATTTAGAGCCACTCAGCGGTAGTCAGCCGCCTTCTCCATCTGTAGCGCAGTCGTGGAAGCACTTTCTGCCCTTCTCTGAGATAAGGTCCCTGTTCTCCTGGCTCCACTTTCACCCTCCATCCTTTCTGCTTTCCCCACTGGACAAACCGTTGTGCTGCTGCTCAAATTGGAGGGTCCCTGTCTTGAGTTCTGTCCTGACATGGGTGGGGGTGCCAGAGTTTGCTCCTTAGTGGGAATTTAAGCACTGTCAAGTGTCTTCCTAGCTTCTGTGTAAAAAACTTTTGGTATAAAAATGATTTCTTCCTTTGCAGCTTTACCTTTTTTTGCGGTATGAGGCTCAGAGTTTTGCTCAGTAACCTTCCAGCTGACAGAAACTATACTGCAAAGAAGAAATGCAGTTGTCCCTGTAGGCAGGTGTCAGAGCCACAGGAAAAATTGTGCTGCTGCTTTCAAATACATAGTTTTCTTGTTGGGTATGGTTCTGCCTGTCCTAGCAGATTTTCTTTTTTGTTTTTGAACTCTTGCCTGGATTTTGAATGCTCTTCTCTGTTGTTTTCTGTTACTTTCTCCCAAAGACATCTTTAAACATCTCTACCTTCTATAAAATAGGGTCTTCCCACTTTACAACAACACTCATATACAATGTACTTTCTGATAAAACAGGGAGAAACATTGATCCAGTGGAGGGCACCCTAGGTCCTACTCCTGCCCACTGGCAGGAGGGCCTGGAGAAGGTGGACCCATTGACCTTGTGCCTTCAGTGTTTCCAACTGGAAACTAGAGATCTCTACTTTGTAATCTAAAGACTAGTCTGTCTCTGTTCCTCAAATTACAGTATGTCATTCCTACTGCAGTTGTTACTGTTCTATGCCCTAGAAGTTTATAGATATCTTTCCTGCAGCATTTTAGCTCAGCAAGACATTTTGCCTCTTAACAATTACTGAGAGCCTAAGATGGCAAAAATGAGCAGGGCCTGGCTCTGTGCCTCGGGGTTTGAGGCAGTTGGCTACTCGCAAGTATCATTTGAGGTTTAGGTCAAGTGCTATGCTGGGTACTCTACACCATCCCTCCAACCTGTGTAATGAACCTTAAAGTGATCTTTACAACCTTAGCATTAGTCTCAGGTTACAGGTGAGAATATGAAGGTCAGAATCCTGTTTTCAGTCTCATAGTGAGTGCAAGGCTAGGATTCAGAGCCAGCATGTTTCTTCTATATGTATCATTATTTAAAAATGGACTGGAGAAGTAGGAAATATGTAGAAATAAGAAGCAGTTTCTAAAATGAACAATGAGCCCATTTCAAATCTACCTGCTTCCTCAAATAAAGCAATAAAACCATCTTGGTCTGAGACGGAGTCCTGTTGATCAGTGTGCATCTGTGTTGCCATACCGAGAAGGGGCCTAGTGTTCCACTCACGTTGCTCTCCCTTGACCCTGGCAGGCACTGGCCCAGGCCATCAGGGAAGCCAGAGAGCAGCACCCTGACATGTCGGTCACCAGAGTGGTGGTACATAAAGAAACCGAGCTGGAGGAAGGAGAAGATTAAGGTAAGAAGGTCTGTGTCATCCGGGGCCTTTTTTTTTGACTGTTCTGCACTCCTGCCCCTGCTAAGGGATGTGAAACACACTTCTACGTCACAGCATCTCTCTCTCCCATAAGCCATTTGACTTTATAGATTTTAATATCCCCAAGTATATCTGCTTATGTTAATGCATATAATTACATAAACTCTGTTAACTGATGGGCATGTGTGTTAATAACTGCCATGTATTGAGGGGACATTTCTGTGTTGCTTTACTCTTTATAAAGCACAATAGTGGAAGTTATCTTAATAAGTGTTCACCTTTGAGGAAGGTGCTATTATTGCCTTCATTTAGAATAGTTTTATTGTAGAGGTCACAAAGGGGAGATGAGTTAAATGTCTTAGATATAGACATTAAAAATTGTATATTAGAACTGAGCCATAAAAGAAAAAAGTGTATACAAAAGTTTATATAGTTTGACTTTATAAAACTTCAATCAAACCAACCAAAACAGTAGCAAAGGATAAATGACAAAGTTTAATATGCCTGACAGAGAAAGGATTAATGTCATGAATATACTAAAAATTCTTATGTGTCAACAAAAAATTTAAACACTTAAGTAGAAAAATAGGCAGAGGACTAATAAGCAAATAAACCAGGTAGAAACTAAGTGAGCAATAAAAAATGCTCAGCCTCCCATTGCTTAAATCAGTTCAAATTAAAAATTCAGTGTACAAGTTTTCACTTACAAGTCTGGTGAAGTTTATGTTTTTAGCCATTGTTGGGGAGCTTGTGGGAGGAAATATACTCATGCTGCTGTACAAATTAACAGTATTTCCTGGAGGGCAATTTGGCAAAAACCCACATTAAACATTCCTACCATTTAAACCACTGTTAGGAATTTATCTCAAACAATCAGAGATGTATACAGTGATTTACCCAGAAGAGTATTTATCACATTTTTATATATATTAGCAAAAAAGTTTGAAACAGTCTAAATGGCCAACAATAGGACCTGGTTATACATTATGCTGCTTCCATGTGATGACTAAATATGGCCATGAAAAATTATATTAAAAAATTCTTAATGAAATGAGTAATTGTTCATAATAGTGTATGCGTTAGGGTTTTAAAAAGTAGGCTTTATCACACAGTACAGGTACTAAGATTGCTTTTTTGTTTTTAAAATGATCTCTACATTGATCAGTTAATAGATAGATACCCCACTGGGATGGCTGGTCACAGAACACACACGTTTTCATGGCAAATCCAAGTGCTTTCCCATCAAGAGAGAGAGGTCCTGCCATTGCACAGCCTCTCCTCAGACTTTTTAATTTTTGCCTGTCTGATAGATATACAATGATACATAACTCTTTCTGGTTAATTCTTGATAGAATCTGGGTACTAATGCTGGGCCAATTTTATGTGTTACAGATATCTGGGTTTATGCTCTGTCTTTTATCATTAATACAGTTCAATATAGTTATTAATTTATTGAATATAGTTATTAATATAGTTAATAGTCTAATTATTAAGCTTTCCTTTATGACTATTGCTGTTTCTTGAGTGTTAAAGGTGTTTTTGATCCAGAAAGTTTATCAGTATTGCCTTCTATATATTAACCTTTAATCCATCAGAAGTCTTTAATTCATTGTTTTTTTCTGTGTGGTGAGAACAGAGATCTGTTCCTTCCCTGTATAAGCAGCCAGCGTTCCAGCAGTGTTCATGGAAGAGCCTGTCCTTCCCCCTCTAAACCACGGGGCATGTATGAAGTTTCTGGGCAGTCTGATTTCTCTCATCCCTGTGTCTATCCTGCTCTAGTACCATGCTGTCTAAATTACTATAGCTTTAAAATGAGTTCTGGTATCTGGTAGAATGGGTCTCCCCAGTTGTGTTCTTTTTCTTCAGGAGTATCTTGGTTATTCTGGGCTCTTTCTGTTCCATATAAATGTCAGAATAAGACTGTTGGGTTCTAAGATAAACCCAGTGGCATTTTAATTGGAATTTCATCCATTCTATAGCTCATATAGTGAGAATTACACCTTTATTATATTAAGTCATCTTTTTCACAAACATGAAATGTCTCCATTTGCATAGGTCTTCTGTAATGTCATTCAGTAAATTGTAAAATTTTTTTACCCAAAAGAGGTCTTACAGATCTTTTCTACCTATTCCTGCTATAGGGAGATACAGTTGACTTTCCAATATTGGTCTTATATCTAAACCTTAGTCTTTGTATTTCAACAGAGGGTGTATAAAGGGCCTACAAGAAATTATTTAAAATTTTAGTACAAACACACTATCTGTTAACCTGAATAAACATGCTGTGTTATTTGCAAGGCTGAGGACATTCTTAGCTAGGAGTGAGAAGATCAAGTGCTGTGTTTTAATCTTGCCAGATCTCAAGCTATGTGACACTGAGTAGTTTGGTGGGGCTGGTACAATCTATTTTTCCAACTCATAGGACTTTATTATAAGGATATAGTAAGATAATGAACGAGAAAATTAGTGTTACAAAGTGTAGAAATACTGCATATTTCTCTAAATTCTATGAATCAGTTATCAGGAATATAAGATAAAAATCAGTTGCCACTATAAGCATTACCAACATCTTTTTGTAGAACTTAAAAAGTTTTAAAATGAATTAATTACATCAGTTATTCCTGGCACCTTAGGTTCATTTTTGCAGTAGACATGTGCATACACAGCATTTGAAGTTTGCCTGTTGCAGAGCCATCTTTTTTTATAAGCAGTCTTGTTAAACAGATTTAGGAAGTTAAAGTAGAAATGTAAAGTGAGCAAACTAGATAAATTTGGAGAGATTTATTCATCCATTCATACAATATTTAATGAGTGCCAAAATGTGCCGGGGTAAGGCTAGGCATCAAGGATGTGAAATGTCAAATTGGTAGACAAAACAGATGTGTTCCCTTTCCTCGTGAAGGTTCAGGAAAAGGAAGGTTCTTCCCCAGGAGGGGAGGCATAAATACTAACAAACCAAATGCAGTTGCAAATCTGATAAATGCTCTGCAGAAAATACTGTAGTATGAGAGAACAAAGCAGGGGACTCAAACTATTAGAAATTAAACCCATTACTTGAAAAACAAAGTTTGAGGTTGAAATCTGAAGGACAAATAAGAGTTCCTTCAGTGTCGCAAAGTGATTTTAGCGTCTCCACCTTCCCAACTGGCTGCAGCTTATTTTTGAACCATATCCTTTGCTGGTGACTGTCAGGGCTGGAAAGTGTATGTTCGTACTGCTTCAGATACCCGCCGGCTGCCCTGCCAGGATCCCACAGAGGCAGTGGGTGGGCCGAAGCAGTGAGCAGGACCAGGACAGTATCCATATGTATGTCAGAAAAGGAGAATAAATAACCATTTGTGGTGAATCTGTCCCATCTCCCTTTATCAGACATGAGAAGTTCTCCTCCTGGTCTGCCTTGACCTCTTCCTTTGGAGTAGCTCTGATTTTTTGATGCAGCACTGAAAGTAGGTGAGAGGGGCAAACAGAAAGCTGGTCAGGGACTGCACCTCCCGGGTCTGCCTTTCTCAGCCAGTGAAGGCCAGCTGCAAGGCCCGGGAGGCCCGGGAGCAGATTGCCAACTTGGTGAGAGAACACCCAGAGCTCAGAGAAGCACTCCACTGAATCTCTGTGACTCTTCTGCCCTCTTGAGGACTTCTCCCTCCCGCCGTTTTCTTACATGCATAGTTATGAGCCCTCCAATGGACACAGAATGTTAACTGACCTTGTCAGCATGGGGTGGGGTCCCAGGTAGTCGTGATCATGAGGGAGAGGAGTCCAGGTGTGGTGGTGGTATCTGTCTGTGTGGCTTTGGAAAGAAAGAGCTCCCAGAGGGGGAGCTCATGGCTGTGCTTCAGTTGGCACTGTGGGCTGTCGGAACCCAGACTTTAAATGCTCTCAGCCCCCTAAGTCCTGAGTAATCACCAACGTAGGGTAAAGGAGGGATTGACGCCGCCTCTTGTGGAAGCAGTGAGCAGCCAAAGGATGAAGTGATGGAGGAGCATCCTCTCATCCCTGCACTCAGTTTATTCATTTTTTGGTTCATTGCACAAATGTGTATGGATGCCCATTACGGATCATCTACTGTTGTACCTTGCAGACTTGAAATCAAACGAGGTCTGTACTCACAGACGATAAATCAGTGGTAGTAGAAGAGGCATCAGGTTTAATGTTCTGAACCGAGTTTGGTGGGAACCCAAAGGCAAGATCTCCAAGGATGGGGCATCAGAGATGGCTTCTCATCGAGGTTTAAGGTGATAAGGAGCTCAGTGAAGGAAAGTGTGGAAAGGGGCTTTCAGGTGGGATCAGGTGCTGAGACCCTGATACTCTAGGGATGGTGCAAAACCAGGAGCATCAGGCTTGCAGGACACTTGTAGGAAATTAATGGTAGACAGGGAAGCAGAGAAGCAGAGGCCAGATCATAAATACTCCTGTAAGCCGAGCTAAAGAGGTTAAACTCACCCTGAAAAGCTGCGGGTACTCACTCCTCAGGCATTTGAGAGATGGTAAGGAGATAAAGGTTTGTGACTTGGTGACTGCATGAGGATATAGAAGTTGAGATAATCTCAGATAATGCCCAGCTTTCTGGTTTGGAGTTGATGGTGGTACCTGTAATTTCAATCACTAAATACATAGTTTCATTGCACATGTCACGTGCAATATGGCCAGTCCTCTTAGCTTAGCTATTTTAAAGGTGCATTTTTTTTTGTTCTCTGATACTACAGAAGAGACCAACTGCCATAGGACTGATGGAGAAAGCTTAGAAGTGAATCCGTAAGACTGGGTCCTCCATGCACACACACACACACACACACACAGTATGGTTAATTGGAAATTTACCAGATAGTCTGAGTGTTAAAAGGAGGTATAGCAGAGCAAATTTGCTGGGTTCAAATCTACTTCATAATGTGTGACCTGGGCAGGTAATTCACTTCTCTGTGCCTCAGTTCTGCCATTTGTAAACTGGGATGATAATAGAATTTACACAAGAGTTTGTTTCCAAG